TTTCAGGGGTGAGATTGATTTCCCAGCACGCAGGGGAAAGCCACCAGGGCCAGAACCTCGGGTGACCTGTTGAATCACTGTGCAGAGGGCGAGCTGCCATTTTCCATCAGAACAAAACGATGCTGGCATGCGAAACTGAACACTTCAATACCTTTCGTAAGATGACCTTGTACAAAAGAGTGAGATGCCTTTACAACCACAAGGGATTGGCCCTGAGAGGAATGAAGCTTGTGTTTAACAGGAGCCACTTTTCCTAAAAGCTCTCGGTTAAGTTTTCTAAAATACTTTGTTTCTCCATCACCTTGTGTTCTCTGATGGTTAGGGCAGGACAGGCTCAAACAAGCTCACCCTTGTTAGTTTAAGAGGCTTTCTGCCATGCGGCAAACTCCTTTCTCCAGCAACCTGTAATCCTACTGCACCAATTCTGCCAGTTGTCAGCGGCTGCTGAAAGGTCTCCCTCTTCTTACTTACAATTTAGCTCTTCTCTTTTCACAGCAAGCACCATCAACAGGCTTAGCAGGCCATGCGAGAAACCGATACTGTCTACCAAAAATACATTTGCACATGACATAAAGAAATAAAACAAAACTTATATACATTATATACAAAAGCCAGCAAAATGATGGGCAAGAGGAAGGGGCCAAGGGAAAGGGCCTGTGTGTCCTGGAGGGCTCCACAGGACCAGGGTCTGGCACAGAGGTCACCTCTCAGCTGTGCTCCGCGTGGAAGCGGTTCTGTTCTGTGCCACAGAACGTAAAGGAGCTGTTGAGAGAGAAGCCCACTCTTTCAGCTGTGTAGCTTTGTCTGACTTCCCCTTCTTGGACACACATACTCTCCTCCTTATTCCATTGGGGCTCTACCTGTCCTACACAGAATTCCAGCTGGTAATGCATATGTAGGAGCTGTGGTGGCTGTGGAAGATCGGTAGTTCAGCAGTTTGAGACCCGGGTTGCCACATGACGGAGTGAGCTCCCGTCTCTAGCTCCAGCTCCTGCCAACCTAGCAGTTCGAAAGCAAGAAATTGCAAGTAGATAAATAGGGACCACTTCGGTGGGAAGGTAACAGCGTTCCGTGCGCCTTGGTGTTTAGTCATGCCGGCCACATGACCACGGAAACGTCTTCGGACGGCGCTGGCTCTTCCGCTTGGAAACGGAAATGAGCACCGCAACCCTAGAGTCGGATTCGACTGGCTTTCGAGCAAGGGAACCTTTACCTTTACCTTTAATGCATATGTAACTGCATTAGAGCCAGTTTGGTGTAGTGGTTAAGTGCACGGACTCTAATCTGGGAGAACCGGGTTTGATTCCCCACTCCTCCACTTGCACCTGCTGATGTGACCTTGGGTCACTCAGAAACTCTGGCACAGCTGTCCATGAAAACGAGCTTTTTCTGCCAAGAGCTCTCTCAGCCCCACCCGCCTCACTGGGTGTCTGTTGTGGGGAGGGGAAGGGAAAGGAGTTTGTAAGCCGCTCTGAGACTCCGAGTGAAGGGCGGGGTATAAATCCCATCATCATCCTCATCATCATCATCATCATCATCTTCTTCTTCTTCTTCTTCTTCTTCTTCTTCTTCTCCCCCTTCTCCAGTAAGTTTCAGTGCTGAGTGGTGATGTGAACCCGTCTCCCCACATCAAATGCTCCATCCCCACATTTAACCCTCTGTCCACTACACCACATTACCTCTTTCTTTAATCAGGAACAATATTTACTTTATACAGAAACAAAAGGAAAGATTAATTACTCGGCCATGCCGGTCTGGTGCTAGAGGTGTCATGGAGCTCAATAATTTGATGGGCATAAATTATAAAATAATATGGAGGAAGATACCCCAAAAAAAATATCAAATCAATGGAATAATAAATATTTGAGTATACTAGGGAAGATTAGGGCACTTAAAATGTTTATAATACCTAAATTGATGTAGTTGTTTCAGGTACTTCCAGAATGGGTATCTAAGAAACAGTTAGCAATGTGGGATAAGGTATTAAAAATTGGGGTTTTGGAAAGAAACAAGCTAGAATACCAAGGAAAGTGATATATTAATCAAAGGAACATTTAGGTTGGGGTATGCCACAATTGGAAGGACACTATGAAGCCTTTCAAATTAAAATGTTGTTGGAGTTGGATGGTAAAAGTAAGGATAAATGGGTCCGATGGAAAGATTGTATAAATGGAGGAGCAGGCAGATTTGGAATATCTACACAAAGGTTTAAAAAAAGAGATTGAGAACACAATAGGCCCAAGACGGACAGCATTAAAAATATGGGGGGTGGGGAGGGGAACCAGGTGAAGTGGATGCCTCCGCTTTCAAAGTGGACCCCGCTTGAATCACTAAATGAGGAGTTTAAAAATGTTGAGGTAACGTTTTGGAAGGAGCTAAAGGAAAATTAGACACGTGGTTTACAACAGAGTTATCCAAGGGAGGCCCCAATGGAATCCTTGCTCAGGGGCCGTGGTGGCTCTGGGCAGCCCTGGGTGCTTTCCCAGGAAACATCAACAGATAAATCGATTGTTTTAATGAAAGACTAGACAGAAAATGATAGGATGGGGACAGCATTGGTGGGGAACAGAAATAAGAAATCCAGCCTAAGTTATGCCAATCACGGACGTAAGAGGAATCAACAGTTGCAGACCTCTGTGGCTCATAGATAAAGGCTGTATGCCTACTAGTGGTGCACACAAAAAAAATTAAAAATGAATTTTTGGGTTCAGGTATATCGGACCCCCCAAAATTTGGGACTCCCCCAAAAATCTGAATTCTAATACTGATATGGTATTTGGATTTGGTTTCCCCCCCCCAGGAATCCCATTTCCCCCCAGCTCCATTGTACCCCATGGGACCATTATAGTCAATGAGGAATCTATCTGAGGTTAACCAGGGGTCTTGGGGGGGTATTTTTGAGGTAGGGCACCAAATTTTCAGCAAAGCTTCTGATGCCTCTCCCCAAAAAACCTCCCCAAGTTTCAAAAAGATTGGACAAGGGGGTCCAATTCTATGGTCCCCAAAGGAAGTGCCCCCATTCTCCATTTCTTTCAATTGTGGTTTTTGTTCAGTCGCAGTTGAGTCTGACTCTTTGTGACCCCATGGACCACATCACACCTGGCACTCCAGTCTTCCGCTGGAGTTTGCTCAATTTCATGTTCGTTGTATCGATAACACTGTCTGACCATCTCATCCTTTGCCGTCCCCCTCTTCTTCTGCCTTCAATCTTTCCGATTATCAGGGTCTTCTTCTCCAGTGAGGGCTCCCTTCTCATTGGGTGGCCAAAGTATTTGAGCTTCAGCTTCAGTATCTGGCCTTCCAGGGATCAGTCAGGGTTGATTTCTTTTAGGATTGACTGATTTGATTTCCTTGCAATCCAAGGAACTCTCAAGAGTCTTCTCCAGAGTCTTCTTCAATGAGGGGAACAGCAAAAAAAAAAGGCAAGGACTGATGTCAAACTAGAGAGTCTCTGCAGTGGAAACTGAAGGTGAGGGGCATTTTGCAAGCCAAGCAAAACCTAGTGCCCCCTCCAGTTTCTACTGCAGAGACTCTCTAGTACTTGCTCTTTTGCTGATTTTTTTCTCCCCTATTGAAAACAATGGAGGGTGGAGGCGCCTTCTTTCGGGGTCCATAGACTAGATGCCCTGGTCCAATCGTTTTTGAAACTTGTGTGGTCTTTTGAGGAGATGCACCAGCAGCTCTGCCTAAAAAAAAAAAATAGCCCCCCCAATCCCCTGGATACCCCCAGATCAATTCCCCATTACAGCCTATGGGGACCATAGCCTATAATGGAGCCAAAGGCATTTATAGGTGTCACAGTATAAATCCAATCTCTTCTTCTTCTCTTCTTCTTCTTCTTTACATGTGTTCCTGAAGCTGCAGCTTCACCCAGAATGCAGTCTCTTTAAACACTGTTTAACTGCGCCTATCTAGCTTTCCTGGATAATCCTGATACCAATAAGGTAATTTCTGGCTATTTTTGCAGCTCAGATATAGCCGAATGTCATATGCCTACATATGATTCTGCCCTTTGCCAACCATCCTCCACAGAGAAATATTCTGTATGGAATGCTGTTCTGTGGACAGGACACCCCTAACAACTGCTGTGATGGCAATCTTCGGAGTTCACTGGGACAGACACGAGTGGCTCATTACTTAGGAACTGAAATGATTTTAGACATCTCCAGGGAACAAGCAAGCAATAAAGGACCTCTAAGCCACTATTTCTGAATGAAATGAGACAAGCACGAAGGTGCTCCGGTGCTGCTTCAATCGTATCCTTCAGGGAATGATCCAGCTTCTGAACAGGAAAGCTAAAGATTATAGTGAAGTAGTGATAAATCTGAGTTACTGTTCTAGTTAGTGATGTAATTTACAGTAGAATTATAAGAAAGATCACCTCTCCTGCCCCCGATGAAAGGAACAGGTTCACACCCAGGAGGTACGCTAATTTGTGACAAATAAAGAAACAATACACAGGGTTTTTAAATATGTTTATATATTATTATTTTACTCCTATATATAACCTACCTGTTCATTTATGTCTCTATCAAGAAGTCTGAGCATGGGAGGTGGTATCAAAATGGTTAAGAAAGCTGAAATATGATGCTTGGCTATGATTGCGAAAAGGTCTGAAAAATTCACACACCCTCTTTACTCCTCTAGCCTCAGTACCTGGATGAGAATGGTAGACATGGATCCAGACACCTTTTTTGCTCTTCTCCAATTCCCCCCCCTCTGACTGCAGACCCCACCCCCCCATGGCTTCTGTCCAGGAGCTCCAGCATCCTGGTGGTCAGTGAGGACTCCCTCTTCCTTTAGCCATCAATGGGAAAGTGGGATCCAGTCATCAGACTGCTGAAATGTTAGATTGCGAGCCCTTAAAGCAACCTCAGCCTCGACAAGAGGGGGATTCCAAGTAGGAAGCACAACCACAGGAGGCTGTGTACCACACACACACACACACACACACACACACGTGATCGCTCTTCTTAATGCCGCCGCTATTGTTATCTTACCTCAGCTTTTATTTTATTGTCTCCAAAACAGAGATGCTGTAAGTAGGCAGCAGCGTTGGACTGCACTGAGGGGAACTGATGCTGTAACATCTGTATAACCTCTGGAAGTTCTGGATCTCTCCATCCAAACTCTCTGTGCACAAAGAAATGAGAGAAAGATTCAGCAGTTATCCTAAAAAAGGTGACAGTAGCGCCTAGTGTGGATGAAGTGCCATTGGTTTATGTTCCAAGACAACAGGAAATCTATTTGGGGGGACGGGGAAGGGATTTCTACCAGTGTCACTGCCAGAATTAACACATGGAAACAACACTGCCCAGAATTTTAAATATGCTTCGCCAGTACAGACTTTGCCTGGATTTTCGTTTCTGCTCCATTATTCTAAAATAACAGAAATCAAACGCACTATAGGAAGCCCTGATCATGATGAAGTAAAAAAAGAAAAGAAAAATGCGCACACACAGAGCCAATATGCACACACATGCTTTCTTACAGGGTGGTGGTGGTGGTGGGGAATAGAGCCCCTCTCAAATAGCAGACTTGGGGGTGTCGGGGTGGTGGTGGCATTTTGAACTAAGCGGCCTGAGAGGAAATGAAGCAAAACTGGACATGCTCTGGGACTGCTGCAACAAAGAGGTGTCTGTGCCCAACCGGGAGATGCCGGATCTCCCTAGTCTAGCCTAGAGTCTCCCTAGTCTAGCCTGGAGTCTGCTACTAGGTGTGTACACGCATGCATAACACTTTATTTGAATACGGTTGGACCAGAGCAATGGTGGTCTCCATAAGGTCATTTGTTGATATGAAAACTACTGCTAACTATTTTTCACATTATAGATACCTGAATGGACTATGCATGTGACTTATCCTATGTTCTGTTCCGAAGGACGTCCATTTCAGAGTTTTCAACCGGAATGTTCATACCTCATTAGAACACTCATTACTCTTCACTTTATGTTTCTTGAGGAGGACATTTTGCAATGTCCCTCCATCCCAGCCATTGCCCTGCTATCATTTCTCTTTTAAAGTATCAATACACACGAACACCAGATATCTTACTTGTTTTTGTTTAGATAGTCTTTGTGTTATTTATTTATTGCATTTATATCCTGCCCATCCCGCAAATGGGCTCAGGGCCGGTTATCAGTGGGTGGGAGACAGCAGCCTCGGGGGGGGGGAGTGTGGACGCCCACTGCCTCAGCCAAAGGCCCGGCGGAAGAGCTCCGTCTTGCAGGACCTGCGGGATTGCATGAGATCCCTATGCGGGGGGGGCTGGTCTCAGTAGGGAGCCTGTTCCACCAGGCGGGGGAGCCAGGGTGGAAAAAGCCCCCGGCCCTGGTCGAGGCCAGGCGGGCGTCCTTTGGGCCAGGGATCGCCGGGAGAGGTTGACTCTCAGAGCATAATGCTCTCTGAGGCGTATATGGGGAGAGGCGGTCCCTTAGGTGTGTTGGCCCCAGGCAAGTTATTTCCAAATTCTGTAGACAGAGGTCCCTCCAATTTTTTTGGTATTATTGTGAAATTAAAGGAGAAGGAACCGAGACAAGGAACAACTCACAGCCGGAGACCAGGAAGTACATCTGAGAAGGAGACAGAATAGGCCCACCAAGACTCAGTGAGGACTGAACCAACATCAAGGAACAGCACTAAACCAAGGAAAATGGTCACACTACAGACAGACGGCAACTGGTACAGTCTTCTTTGAATCTGGGCCTTCTTGTGCTGTGTGAGTTCAGCAGTTCCCACCAATAAAGCTATGTGTTGTCGAAGGCTTTCATGGCCAGAGTTCATTAGCTGTTGTAGATTTTTCTGGGCTGCGTGGCCGTGGTCCTCCTGGCATGGTAGGACCTGACGTTTCGCCACTAGCTGTGACTGGCATCCTCAGAGATGTAACACAGAAAGATGGAGGACTCTCTGTCAGTGACACATACAGCCCAGAAAATCTACAACCACTAAAGTTATATAAGTTCAATCCCCAAAAATGATTGAGTCTGCAAGATGCACAGTCTCAGACATAAGAGAAGATTAACTGGTTAAACTATAGAGACTGAGACAGGTTGATAAGCGTATTGATACAGCCTTGCCAGAGATGAAATTTATTGCAGGTTTATAGGTTCCAAATAATCAGCGTTAATGCAGCAGAGAGCCAGCTTGGTGTAGTGGTTAAGTGCACAGAATCTAATCTGGGAGAACCGGGTTTGATTCCCATTGCAGATGCTGGATGACCTTGGGCAAGCCATAGTTCTGTCAAGAACTGTCCTTGAAAGAGCAGTTCCTGTCAGAGCTCTCTCAGCCCCACCTACCTCACAGGGTGTCTGTTGTGGGGAGGGGAAGGGAAAGGAGTTTGTAAGCTGCTCTGAGACTCTGAGTGAAGGGCGGGGTATAAATCCAATCTCCTCCTCCTCATTTCACTGTTTCTGTACTAAACTGTAATGCTCTTATCCATCCATCCATCCAGCTAGTACTGCTGATACGGCTATCATGTTAAGCAGAAATTAGAACCAAAAATATTTTAAAAGACCTTACTCAGTATTATTTCTCTTATATTTGATTATTATTATGCCTATGAATTTTGCCACTGAGAAAGTGACACAATCATCTGGATCCGACAGTAGCTATGACGCCTGGGCTCTTTAAGCAAAGGGGTGACTAAATTAGCCCTCAACTCGTCGCCTACGGGGCACTCCATAATCATATGTTCAGTGGTTTTGATTTTAAAGCATTAAACTTTATTATATTTGCTGTCCAAAACTGCCAAGGGAAGAACGTAAAAGCTCTTTTTAGTCTTGGGACTGTAAATTGATAAAAAATATTTTGGCAGTTTCATCAGGAGGGCAATTCCCCAACAGATGTACTTGTAACATCCAACTTTCTTACACATTTTAAAATTTGTCTTATAATGTCTTTAGTTTCTGTATTCTTAATTCCTAGGCATTTCATTTTCTTTTCCAATAGTTGATCCCACTGGCTGTAATGTGTATCTGCCTGGATAAGCCCAAGTAGAGTAGATCCTCCCTCAGATTTTAAAACCTTTGCTTTAAAGAGAAATGCTTTAATCCAGACCCCCTAGCTCCCATCGATAGTTCGCCGAGTTCCGCTCTCAGTGCTATGCCCAAGACATATCTAGTAAATAAGCTTCAGTAAAAGTCATACTGGATTGAATCCATTTTTTCAAAAGTGGACTGGATCCAAATTTCCACACCATACAGGAATTGGTTTAGAACCTTAGCATTAAATACCTTTAAGGCCGAGGGAACAAATTCGCCTCGCGATCAGTGGAAGTATTTTACAATTGTCCTCCCTACTCTGTGTTCTTTGTTTGATCCATGAAACTGTAATGCTAATAGAAGACCACTTTTGAGTTTCGATATTAGTTGAAATATTAGTTAACATTACGAGAGAACCTGCAGTTCCCACTGCATGGGGATAATCTGCACCTCTCAAACAGAGGCAATTAAGTACCATCAGCCTCAGAATAACTAAAAAGGCAGATCAGTTATGGAGACCTCAAATTCACAATAGCTGAAGAGGAAACGTGGCATTGCCACAAACCGATGATGAAAGCTTTGCGCAGGACTCCCACATCCCGCCCTAACCTCTGCCCTATTCTAGCTCTCCTAAGGATAGGTATGTTGTTGTGAACCTACCCAGGAAATATAAACACGGGCTCAAGTTGCAATAAAACATTGGTTAGTTCAAAGCAATTTTTCAATGAAACAGGTAGGGATTCAATTCTGGGCAGAGAAGCAGGGTGAGATATAAATAAATAAAAAGCACAAAGTGCAGAAGGTTATGCAGGCAGGCACTCTTCTTTTGGCTGGGAAAAGGACAGATGCATTTCCATCTGGGTACAAGTATGAGATGAATTTACAAACTATATACTGAACACATAAAAGCAGATAATTCTAATTTAATCTCCATATGTGACAGATGTTTCAAAAGCAGATGTTCCCTAAAAACTGTTATTTTTAATGAGTTCTAACTACATTACTAAGTAGCTTTGTAAATTTGTTAAATGTGTTAACCCTGCTGACTTTCTGGTTCCCTCAGGAGGGAAAAGTTTTACTAACTCTTTTAAAGCGATAAAAAACAAGGACTGTGTGTGTGCATGTATGTGTTAAAGAATTAAGTTTAAGGAAGTTCTTCTAGGGAGAGTAAGGCATCAATTACCATTTAAGCAAATGAAATATTGTTTGCAGTTGGTTTCTTCATTTCATAAAGATGATTCCCCGTCTTCAGAACTTAGCTATATTTCTCAGTAAAGATTTCTCAGGTCCTGCCCTGCCCTGGATAACCCCGGCTAGTCTAATCCTGTCAGATCTTGGAAACTAAGCAGGGTCTGCCGTGGCCAGTATTTGGAAGGGCGACCTCCAAGGAATGCCAAGGTCATGATGCAGCGGCAGGCAATGGCCAGCCCCACCTCTGAAATGCCTCTTGCCTCAAAAACAAGTCTAGCACCCCACCTACTGGTGCATAACACTAAAAAGCTAGAGCTCCTGACTGCCAGGCAATCTTAGGATCTCCTGGATATTCTACACACAATGCCATAGGATTGATGATGATGATGATTTCAGATCCTATTCTTTAGTCAGCCACCAAAGCACTGACAAGCTCCTTTCAGATCACAGAATCAGAGAGTCATAGAGTTGGAAGGGATCTCCAGGGTCATCTAGTCCAACCCCCTGCACAATGCAGGAAATACACAAATACCTCCCCCCTCCACACCCGCAGTGGCCCCTGTCCCATGCCCAGAAGACGGCAAAAAAGCCTCCAGGGTCTCCAGTCAAACTGGCCTGGAGAAAAATGGCTTCCTGGCCCCAAACTGGTGATCAGCATTTCCCTGGGCATGTAAGAAAGATGTCACGCTGGATCTGAGATCAAACACGTGTATGAACCTGATGTGTGGCTGGATTTGCATGCATGCCTGGCTTCTGCCAAATCCCTTCTCACACGGAGAATCACAGCTACAGAACAACCCTGGTTGCCTACAATGTATGAATGCAGTTGCGTGGCTTAATCACAGTTCGATTTCTCCCCACCCATCAGGATACTCAGCTACAGCTCACTCCAGAGACTGAATCCTGAACAGGGGAGGAAGGAGCCGCTCCGGTCCACCCTCTCGCACGCACGCTCATTACAGC